GATTTATAAAAAAAATATGTTCTGTTAAAATTTAAAATTTGTTATTTTAAGTTATTGTAATTTTAAGTGTTTTGTTACCTTAAGTCATGGTGGGCGATAACAGTCATTATGTTTAGTTAAATATTTGTAAGGACAAATCTCAGTTTGTCCTTGGTGGGCGATTATGTATACGCCATTTGTGCATGTAAAAAATGTAGTTCATATGTGTCAAAATAGATGGCGCTTTAGTTCTTTGCATCACGCTTGCAAATTTGTTTGGAGCTACATATAGGCAAAACGTCACAAAACTAATAAAGTAATCTATGGTCAAACAAAATCCACCTTAGTTTCATTTACTTCTTTTGCACCTAAGCTCTCGGATTTAAGAGTTATTTTGGCTTGATCAGTAGTGTTCAAGCACTTCTTGATTGGGAAACATTTTGAGCGCATGTGGTGTATCTAGGGTATTTAATATCGTTGGATCCTTCTCATATAGGAGAGGCCTACCCTACTTATTTAAAGAGAGGCTTATGTCGAGCAGTGGACCAACCTGAACTTTCGAATCAACCGACTGACACTGATCAACCCACGATACCTGACATTGACATCTCCTATACCGACAAGAGATCACGTAGATTTGTAAGGTTACCGGTGTATCTCAAGGACTTTATTAAGTATATTTTGGTTGTTACATTACATGTTTGTTTGTTGTTTTGAACATATCAACCTTATAAGCTTCCGATTTTTATGCCCGCGGAGTGTGGTGAGTGAAACCTAGTTTGTATAGTTTTCTATTGAACATATAACAAACATAAACAGTGACAATAAAAGTTGTTAACGTAGTTACTGGACCTGTCTTATAATTGTATTGTACCTCAATTCTCAAGAGGTGGGGTACCCGCTTCTGGCATAATTAAATTTCAGATCAATAGATCATAGATCTAATAATAATTGTCAATGGGAGTTTATGCTCCTCAGAGTGCGACAATCCTTGCCCTTTATTTATGTGAGCGACAGTTCGGGAGGGCGCCACTGTCTACTTAAATGATATGACATACCGTTCTCTACATGACATACAAAATATGACGTTTACTAAAACGGCGTTAGCGTTAGTTACAATTTTCTTCACATTCATAAAGATCCTTGACGTACTATAGGTATGCTCGTGGTATGCTCAAACGTTATAGAATTAATTATATGCACAGTGAACGCTACCCATAACATCAGAGCCCGTCACAAAACTCCGAGACAACCAAGGAGCGCATTGGATGAAAAACCTACGGATGAATACCTACCAATCACACGACTGCGCAGCAATACCGATCAATCACACAACTGCGCAGCGTCACAATAGAGAGAGAGATAGTTAGCCGTTCCTCATCTTCTTTCTCTTACTACTAGACAAAGAATTTATATAATACCTAGACTGTGCACGAAAAAAATTCGTTAATCTAAAGTAAGATTTATATCTGTAGTAATAGGATAGCTATTATCTTGATAAGCGGTCGCTAGTATATACGGGCCTGAGTGAGAGAGCACCCAACGGGAGTGTGTCCCTTTTTAACCTCTTGCCCTTTCAATTTATCATTGGGTTTGATAGAAATGGTAGAAAATATCATCCTTTTCTACTTGTGATTTACTGATTAATTACCGATACGAACGATTCGTAAAGTATGAAACGTATTTAAACATTTCTACAGTTCCTATAAATAATTAAATAATCATTGATATTTTTAAAATAAATCTAAATTCAGAGTAAAAGGAGTATTTAAATGGTTGAGCCTGGTAATACTGAATGTAAGATGGTGATTTGTTCACTTGATCGCTAAATTGATTTACTCGTTTTGATTTGAAATATTTAGCTTATTAAAGTGTATTTTTTTAAAATGGTGAACTTCTGTTATGTAGCAGGGTGCTACAATGAATCTTATCCCGGTAGCCCTTTTTCTTTTCTTGGGTAAGTAAAACTTACAATCATATTCATTAGGTGAACCATGAATTTTGGAGGTAGATGAGTATTTTTTTCTTAACATGAGTTGTGTGGATTTAATGAATCAATTATTAAATAACGCGGTCGCGGTTACTTCCTTGTTTCGTAGGTACTTTTTAGAGCGTTTTTAGATTTGTCAAGTCTGTCTTTTTTTTGTTTTTATTTTAACTAATCATCACAAATTACTTACATGTTTAGACAGTAGCAGATACTAAACACAATGATCTTTTCAAGCTATATTAAATAACAAATACTAATAACAAATTTCGTCCCGCGTTATGCTTGAATATGGTCACCTCATGAGAAAGGAACACACTACCATTGGAAGCCCTCTTGCCTGGACCGTTTTTCACACGATGGTGCACAGTCTAGGTATTATATAAAGTCTTTGCTACTAGACGGACACTTCCACTAGTAGTAGAGCACATATCTACCCTACTCTATTCTTATAATTATCTCTATGGTATAGACAAGTGTTGTCTAATTTTGGGTTTAGAGAATCATGCCAGAATCGACACTATTATTTACTATTGACAAAAATACTAGACGAGACTGTGTGGATCCTTTGCCTTCCTATTAAGATTTAATCCAAAAAAAATGTTACGTTCGTTTCGTTTGATTGATGTCTTTCTTGCATTTGTGGAAATGTTGGCGCCTTGTATGTAATTAAAGTTTTATTTAGAATTTTATATAAATTAAACACTTTATCTTGAACATGGATATAGGTGAATCATTCTTGTCCTGTGCTGTGACTATGGAATGGGTCACTCCTCAAGGTTCCATAAGCCGAAAAGTAAATTATAAAACAGCTTCACTTCGCCTTATCAGAAACGAATTTCGTGAAATGTTTATGGAAATATCGAGTGAAAAACATGCTGCTATAAGATTAGCACTCAAAGGTATTAACGTTTTTAAAAAGTTCATGGTGGAAGGAAAAGCTAGTATTAAATTTCAAGGGGTTGGATGCACACTCTTCATTTCAAATGCTCCCCCAACGAACCTAGTTTCTTTTTTAAGAACCATATTTGTTAAAATGACCGGTGATAAAGAGCAAGGTTCTAGTACTTCTAAGCAAACAATGAGAACGAAGCTGTTGAGTGGTAAAGCTCAAACATTTGAAGAAATAAGCCCTGTGACAGTAGCTGATATACATAGTGCAAAGACTAAAATCCCTAAGTCAACTCTGACTACTCCATCGCCGCCATCAAAAAAGAGGAAAGCCGAAGATATATCTAAAGGTCCTGTACCAAAAAAATTGTACTCGCCTTCACCTTTGACTGCTATAAGTTCTCTGAATACAGAACAACAAAGAGTTCTAGAGGCTTGTCTTAGTGGAAAAAATATATTTTTTACTGGTTCTGCAGGAACTGGTAAAAGCTTTTTGTTGAAAAGAATTGTGGCAGCTCTGCCACCTGAAGTAACAGTTGCTACTGCTTCAACTGGAGTTGCTGCATGTCATGTCGGTTAGTATTTCTTTACTTTCAATAATATATCTTAGTAAAAATAAAAATTTGAAAAAGTTAATGTTCTTTGTCAACTTTTTTTTTCAAGGAGGAACAACACTGCATGCCTTTGCTGGAATTGGAGATGGCAGTGGTACATTGGAAACTCTTTGTGAAAGAGCAGTAAAACTGCCACTGGTGGCCCAGAAATGGCGAAAATGCAAACATTTGATTATTGATGAAATCTCTATGGTTGATGGAACATTTTTTGAGGTACCTATTTGGAACTTTAGATGATCATAATTTTTAAATAATTTAATGAAGTAACAATGTTAAGATGATTCTATTATTTAATTTCAGAAATTAGAAGCTGTGGCAAGATATGTCAGGAGAAATGATAAACCGTTTGGTGGAATTCAACTTATACTGTGTGGTGATTTCTTGCAGTTACCACCTGTTGTGGACAAAGCAAAAACTGAAAAGAGGTTTTGTTTTCAATCTCCATCTTGGGATAAATGTATTGAACTTTGCTTTGAACTGAAACAAGTACATAGGCAAAAAGATCAGGAATTTATATCTATACTTAATAACATCAGGATTGGGCGTGTAACAAAAGAAATAAGTGACAGACTGCTCAGCACAGCTAGACAAAAAATTGAGTGTGATGGCATTTTGGCAACAATATTATGTTCTCACACAAATGACTCAAAAACAATTAATGATACAAAACTAAAAGATTTAAATGGTGAAAGCAAAATCTTTTCCTCTCAAGACAGTGACAGTGCCACCAAATTATTAGATATGCAGACAATTGCCCCTTCAAAGTTAGTTCTGAAAGTAGGAGCTCAGGTAATGTTACTCAAAAATATAAATGTCAATGCAGGTTTAGTGAATGGTGCTAGAGGTGTAGTTATTAGATTTGAAGAGGGTTTCCCTGTTGTAAGATTTAAAAACAAAAAGGAGTATACAGCAAGATCTGAGAGATGGTATGTCAAAAACTCCAATGGTACGCTTCTGTGTCGACGTCAAGTACCACTTAACTTGGCATGGGCATTCTCTATTCACAAGTCACAAGGCTTAACTTTAGACTGTGTAGAAATGTCATTGTCCAAAATATTTGAAGCAGGACAAGCATATGTTGCATTGAGTAGAGCTCAGAGCTTAGACACATTGCGTGTACTAGACTTTGATTCACGTCATGTATGGGCTGACCCAAGTGTATTGGAGTTCTATCAAAAATTCCGACGTCGCTTACAACAAATGGAACTAATTCCACTTGGTAGACCATTGTCTGATAAAACTAACAAAAAACTTAAATTACGAGATGTATTAGCTAAACAATTAAGCCGTAGATAATATATTCTTATACAAATAATATTTGCATGAAAATGTAATGGTGAAAAAATAAATTGTGTTATGCAATCAATGACATTAATTGCATTATATTTTCAATAGTTTAAATGTAAGACTGAGTTTAAGCATTTATTTATATAAATTAATGAAAATAAATAAAAACTACTAGAGTAAATAAGGTATTTTTATTACTGAAACAAAATGGTATTTCTTATTATTGATTTGGTTTTTTCCTTTTATCTTGCTTCTACTGCAGTTAATATTTCAATTTGTTCCTCCAGCGTAGCATGCTTCTCTTGCAAACTTTTAACTATGTATTTCATTGATTCAAAATTTTGTTCCATTTCTCGTTTGGATAATTTTGAAGCCTCCATATTTTTTCGCATGGTTTCCACTTGTTTTCTGTTCTGTGCAAGATCTTCCATTAACATAGTGATTAAACGATCTTGCTTTTTTACCATAAGCCAAAGACGTGCCTCCATTGGTGCGTCTGGTTTCCATTTTAATTCATCAGTGACAAAAGTATCTAAATTTGTAGGTTCTTTGAGTTTATTTAAACTACTCTTAATATCAATCATTAAGTCAGATTGAACTTGTTTATTGAGCAACCTTTCAGTTTTTGCATTAAAAATTGGAGTGGAATCATTCTGTAAATGCAAATAAATAGTGATATTATATATCATTGTATTATTAATTAAGAGATAAGTTTTTCAGCTAATATTGCCAGCTATTTAGTTTATTATAACTGCCAGACATTGTAGTGTATAAAATAGCACTCTAAAGTCTTACACAATAATAATTATTTTCATGTGACATTCATATGGACGAAAGAAGAATAAGAAAACAAACCATGCAGACGTGGTAATTAGTAAAGTAAGTGTAAACATAAAATGCACAGACAAAATTCAGTGTTGGTATTATAGTCATGCTGTTTTGTTCAAATCACTCTAATGACATTAATTTACAATTTGATGAACAGAAACAAGAAACTGTGTCAAAGGTTCAAGTTTATTCTATGTATCTAGTAGGTGGTTTAGTTAAAAACTTACTCTGTGTCAAAGGTTCAAGTTTATTCTATGTATCTAGTAGGTGGTTTAGTTAAAAACTTACTCTAAGAGGTTTTTCCATTGCAGAAGCAGGAAAAAGAGTTGGTATGGCATGCTCTTTTAATTTCCTCTGGGAATCAAAATATTTGTTTTCAAAATGCCTTGAACAAATTCTACTTTTAGCCCAGTCTAACATGGAACATTTATTTTTAAGCATCATTAGCCATTTATTCCTCATTTCACTCGAGGCTGGGCACCTAGTAAAAAAAAAAAGACTTAAAATACACTTCAAAAAAAAGCAGTTGTAAATACATTAAGGGAAAATGGTCAGCAGTATTTAAATGTATTGATAAAATGTGTTTTCCTTACGGATGGAAAGAAATTCCAGGTGGTTTATTGTGGGCATTTATTTTGCAGTTCCCTATAGCACAGTGTAAGTTACTCATTCTTATTAATTATGAGCTAACAAAGTTTGTAGTTTTGTATTAATATTAACTAATTCCAAATATTCCTTTGAGTGTGATTATTTACAGTTTGTATTGGACATTTGTAATACAAATTTTGTATCTTCTAAGTTCGTCGGCGGATTTTGAGGACACAGACTACAGAAATAATGTAACGCTAGTGTTAACTTTCTCTATGGATTAGAGCATAGAATACTAAGATTGAGTGATGATAACGTATATTTGTTGATATAGTAAAGCCAGAAACATATTAACGTGTCGTGTCGTGATGCGCCAGAAGCACATCGGTTTCATACATTTACTATCGTAAGAGGCATATTTACGTGTCGTGTTGACTCTAACATCTCTCTCTCTCTCTCTAACCCATAATAAATAACCAATATCGAAATTCGTATCAAAAACGATATTTTTTTAATTATTAGCGGCATATCACGATCTAACTAAATTCGTATCTGGAAAAATCGTAACTGGATCTCAGATTAATGATATTCAACATATCTATGATCTGTGCTGTATTTAGTTTTGTCTATTATTTGTAAGTCTGTTTCGCTGGTGAATTGGTTGTGCTGATTTCCATTATATTCTGTGAAGTGTGTGACTGTCTTGTTAACGAAAGAGCTGCAATCATTTTCATCATTCGAAAATAGGGTCTATTTTTAGGGAGATAATTTTCGTTCCATTATTATTCCGCGTGTCATATTTCTACTGTACGATATTTTTGGGTAAATTGGTCCGATATATCGATGTTTTTTTCGCGATATATCGAAGCCGATATTGATATTTTTTAAAAGATCGATGTATCGATATATCGATATTTTTTTCAACTTTCGACATCCCTAGTCACGACACGCCACGACACGTTTAATTTGTTTCTGATTTAAGGGTAAGGAAAGGAGTGTTATGGAATACCAGGATGCTTAGAGTATATATGCTCCTAAGGCAGAATGTACGCATTAAACACAAAAACAGCTAAAGGAAAAATAAATAACGTTTATGGATAATGGTTGTCATATGTAGTGTTCCAATTACAGCATTATAGCGCATTATGCGTAGGGATGCAAAGTCTTTTGAAATATCGATATTTATATCGAAGTCAGGAAAATATCGATATCCGATATATCAACCATTTTAACTCGATAATATCGATATTTTTTCCTTTTTTTGCTTTGTATTAAGTTTGCAAAGCAAAAACCTATAATTAAGGAAGCAAAGGTTTCCGAAATATCAATATTTATAATGTGGGCAGGTAAATATCGATATCCGATCCGATATATCAGCCATTCCAACATTTCCAACACGATATTTTCTATATTATTTATAGCGCTGTAAGAAGTATCAAATCAAAAGCAATTTCGAATGAAAGATATTTATTTTGTTTAAAATGTTTGCACGCAGCCAAAATCAGAATAGATAATCATATGAAAAACAATTGTTATGTATTAGTAAAACCCACACATCAGGGGCGTGCCCATGGCTTCAGAATAGGGTAAGCCCAAAGCTTCCAAAGTTACTATACCTATCTTACTTTCTTGACTTGGCGAGCTTAAAAAAATTACGATTTGTATAAGATTCTTAATTTTATTTTGTGTTATATTACAATGATATTAAATTTCAATTAATCAGTAGTTGACAATTATCTAGAAAGAGAGGCAAGGATTTAATTTAAGTGCATGAGTTACCATTAGGTTTACGATTATACCTATATACGTTGGTGTCGATTCTGGCATGATTATCTAAACTTAAAACTAAAGGAGATTGCTCAGCTTCCATACATGTTTGGCCTAAAAACCAATAACCATGAAAAATTGTTTCCTAGATTCGAAATTATATATAAATTACCGTAGAAACGAATATTATCGACGGCCACTCCTGAGAACTTCTATAAACCATATACACTGAATGATTTTGAGGTTATGTTTGCAAATAGGCACATAGGTATTAGAATAATAAAAACCAAATAACTTATATAGGAAAATAGGGCAATCAAGCCAAGTACCGATATTATGTATTAGATTCAGGTATATAGAGCATGTAAAATAACAGATAATTGCCTGTTTTTAAAATTAATGCACAAGAGTAAGTTTTAAAATCATGATTATGCCATTGCGACTTTCAGAAGCAATCTTGTTTCATTTGACAAGTGTCTAACTCTAATTACACTAACAAAATGCATGTCAAGGAACTGGTACCTGCTTACCTATGTTATGAGAAACATGGAACTGTTATCATAATTTTATAAAAACCAATAGGATATTTTCTTAGTAATAATTAGGTTTATAATGGTAAAAGGTAATTCTAATGTAATAATATATTGCGTAGGTTCATGATAGTTCTGATCAATGTGTGAAATATGTATATTCCTGACATAGCTTAAATATTCTGATAAGGTAAATTAATGAAATAAAACAACTTAAGTACTTTTATGTTGCGTTTAATATTACATATCATCTACATTTTGAATTAAAATATCATTGAAATATTTTATCAATCTTTACAAAATAGATTTGTTTTGATGTTATATAAACAACCTCGATCAGTCTTTGTGAATGTTACTACACCCATAGCCAATAAAAATGATTCGTATGTTTTCCAAACCGGTAAAAATAGAAGTCCTTTTTTAAAATTAATATATTATTTAAAGGTGGCCGTTAAAATCTAATGACTGTAAAATAAAGTATAAATTACGCCAAGAATTACTGTATATGTCAATATTTTATTTGCATTTAGGCCAATTTGATCAATCTCCTTTAACATCAGTCTCTCCTTTTTATTCTGTATAGAGAATGACAAGGATACACCGTTGACAAATTTAATTTTAGGTTTAGAGAATCACGCCAGAATCCACACCAGTTTAGTATATTTCTTGGGGTTCAAGATTTTTTTAATACATCTATAAGCTCTTGCGATTTCAAAGCAATAGTTATTTCGATATTATTCAATTTAGATAGTCGTAGCAGGTAAATTAATTGATATTATTGCGTTCAAATTTAGACTACGAAATATCGATATTTTGGAAATTCCGATATCGATATTATCGATATCAGTGAATTTTAAATATCGATATAAATATCGATATTTTGGTCTCGATATTATCGATATTCCGATATATCGTTACAACCCTAATTATGCGGCATAATGCTTAACGTTGAGTGTTTCAACTACAGCAACGCTTCGCACATTCGAGCACTCTCAAAAGTAATGCTTTCGTGTGATGTGTGCAATCGTACCAACTCAGTGACAGAAAATTAACAAGTGTTTTTTCTTTAAGTTGGCATTGATCGAAATGTTTTATTTATATGTTATCGTAAGTCATATTATTTATTGTTGAAAAATTATTAAAGCTTTCGTTTCATTAAATAGTTTTTTTAAATAATCAAAGTTCATTCAAACTGTTAAAAAAATAAATATACGTATGGATGAAGGTACAAACATTGACTTTTTTTCAACACTGAACTTAGCGCACTCTGCTGGTGCATTTGAAAACTAATTCACGTTCCAGTTATGCATTAGCATAATTCGGCATTGTGAGCCACTGAGTCGCATTATGCTCTGTAATTGGAAAACAACCATAATCACTTTAGAATCCCTTGTATAAGCAATATCAATTATTTTCCTACACATTTTACCTTTCCCTGCTTTGTGTTTGATTTATATCACCCTAATACTTCCACATCATTCCCTTGATTACTTTAATAATATTGCACTATTATACATAAACAAGACCGAGTACTTTTCTCGACAAAACTGTCTGAGTGGGAGATATAAAGCAGAGGCCATTTATCTCTCTCTATTAGGTCCACCAAAACGATAGTCAGAGTAATGAATCTTGAACTTTTTTTTAATTTGAATATGGCAATATTGACATAGCTCGAAGAATAGCCCAGCTGAAGTGGCAGGGGGCGGGACACATAGCGAGGAGAACCGATTGCCGTTGGGGCGGAAAGGTTCTCGAATGGCGACCGCATGCCGGACGACGCTCAGTGGAAAGACCCACTACAAGGTGGACAGACGATCTGGTGAAGGTCGCGGGAAAATGCTGGATGCGGGCAGCGCAGGGCCGATCGTTGTGGAGATCCTTGGGGGAGGCCTATGTCCAGCAGTGGGCGTCGCTGATATGATGATGATGATGACGGCAATATTAGTATTTACCTTTCGCAGTCAGTAAAAAGTAGATTTAGCCATCTTGGATCACAAAATTATTATCGTATTCGTAATCAGCACTCTCGAAAACTATGAATATACTCGTAATACACATATTATTATTGGTTTTATTAAAAAAGGCAATTTCGACATCAATACATCTAATTTTACATAAACAAATGGGGTGGACATTAGTGACAACACACATTCCAAACCAACCACCATGTTAATCATTAACACTAATCTCCACCCCATTTATGTAAAATGATATGTATTGATGTCGAGATTGCCTTTTTTAATAAAACCAATAATTATATGTGTATTACGAGTATATTCATAGTTTTCGAAAGTGCTGATTACGAATACGATAATAATTTTGTGATCCAAAATGGCTAAATCTACTTTTTACTGACTGCGAAAGGTTAAGTTTTGCGAGTGTAAATACGTATATAAGTTTGTATGAATCAATCACATAACAAAAAGCGGTCGCACGTGAACTACTTTAATATAACGCACATGTTTGAACGGACACGTACTATGGCGAGTGGAGTTTGCCCGCCTATGCCATCTCCATTGGTATATGCTGTAAGTTAGAGACTACCGTTTTTTTAAAACAATTAAAACTAAAGACAGAACCAATGGACAGAACTATATTTATCTGTTGTGATGTGACGGGCTCTGCGGGTCAATTAAGCTTTAGTGATAAAATCCTTATGTGATGTCAATATGATGTTGATGCCAAGTTGACATTGTTTTTAAATGATATTAAAATAACATTCCTACTTATGTCACATCAAGATCTTTATCTTGTATCACATTTTTGAAGTTTATGCGATACTGTT